TAGTTGAGGAAAAGTTGAGCAATTGATCTTTGGTTTAACTTTTCATATAGTTGAGCAAAAGTTGAGCAATTAGAAATATGAGCTGGTGATATAAATGTTATGTGCCATCTGTTTTCCATTCATCTCTGTGTATAATGCAAGTAGACAGGAAGTACTATTATAAATGTACACAGAGTTTGAGGCCAAATTAAGGGAAGCACATGTTTTTAAACATTTTTCTGTATTTAACTTAACTATAACTCATAACATAAAGATAAATTAAAAAAACAAACAGTATTTTTTTATTATAAGATATATCAAAAATTCATGATTTAGGTAATTAACAGTTATTATTAGGGGCAAATTTCAAAGGGATCACACTGTCAAAATACCCTAAACAACCTCAAACATTTAAAATTTTAACTGGGCTTGAGCTTGCACATGGCAAGCAAAGATGTCATCTAACTATCATGAATAAAATATGAATTTTACAATGGATGTAGATCAAAAAGTTACAAATAACTGTATTGACATTGAATAGTGCAGTGTATTCTTCTGATGACATGACTCTTGGATTTAGGAAGATTGATGTTTTAACACATATTTATGGAAACATCTTTTGGTAAGTACATTGGATTAGAATTTCCACCATTTTGAATAAGTGTATATGCTCTTTTAGTTCAAAATAGTGATATTTAAAGTGTCTTCTTAACTTTTTAGAGTGGAGTAAAATTTTAGACAATATATTTATGCATTAATTTATATATTATCAAAATGTGTAAGACAGGAGACATATTTATTTTATTATTAAGACAATTTGTTTTAGAAAGTATTACTAATAAAATAAGAATATTCTAATATAATGAATTTGGTATAAAACTAGAGATCTGGGGTATGACTGCAAATAAGACATCTATCCACAAATGACAGATAAATATATATAATTTTTTTTCTGGTTGAACAACACTTTCTGTTTTGAGTATTTCAATATATATCTAAATACTTCTCCTTGCATAAAGATTAATATGGCTGCAGGATTAACTAGATTTTATTTACTAGGTAATAACTTTTAAAAAGCAAGGATAAAGCTGGCATGTAGTTTGTTGTGTGTTAAGATCTTTCAGCAGTATTTTGGCTAAATAAAATACACAATTTAAATTTATTTTTTCTACAATGTGTAGTCATCAGTGTGCAATGACCAGATACATGTAATGCTCAACTTTTAAAGACCTGGCCGTCAACTATTGGCCACCTAGCCCTCAACTTTTAATGACCTGGCCCTCAACTATTGACCACCTAGCCCTCAACTTTTAATGACCTGGTCCTCAACTGTTGGCCAGGTAGCCCTCAACTCTAATTGCTCAACTGTTGGACACCTAGCCCTCAACTATGATATTTTCTCAACCTTGCTCAACTAATTTGCATATAGTTGAGCATTTGATTGTTGAGGGCTACCTAATTTGCATGGCAAAAATTCAGGTAGCCCTCAACTATTTGCTCAACTGATGGCCAGCTAGCCCTCAACTGGCCCTCAACTGTTTGTTCAACTGGCGGCCAGTTGAGCAATGCAGTTGGCCATCCTATCATTTTTTCTGTATGGGACAGCATAGGTTTCTGATACAGAATGAATGTGGTCTAAGAACTTAAAATTTTTTAATTTACCTATTCAAACCATATCATTATTATTTGCTTTTATATATAAATCAGAAATAACCAATTTAAAATGGAAAATAAAAAAAAAAAAAAAAAATCCCTCCCTTACACACAAGTTATTGTCCTGAAACTAGAAAAATGCTTGTTTTTTTCCCCTTTTTATACGACCGCAAAAATTTTTGCGGTCGTATATTGGTATGACGTTGGCGTCGTCGTCATCTGGCGTCGTCCGGCGTCGTCCGAAGACACATTGGTTTTCGCACTCTAACTTTAGTTTAAGTGAATGGATCTCTATGAAATTTTACCATAAGGTTCAATACCACAAAAGGAATGTGGGGATTGATTTTGGGGGTTATGGTACCAACAGTTAAGGAATTAGGGGCCAAAAAGGGGCCAAAAATAAGCATTTTTGTAACTTCCAGACATAACTTGTGTGTTAGTGTATGGATCTCTCTGACATTGTACCAAAAGGTTCCATATCACGAAGGGAATGCTGGGATTGATTTTGGGGGTAATTGCCTCAAATAATTAGGAATTAGGGGCCAAAAAAGGGGCAAAAAACAAGCATTTTTCTAGTTTCATGACAATAACTTGTGTGTAAGTGTATGGATCTTTCTGAAATTGTACTACAAGGTTCCATATCACAAAGGGAAAGCTGGAATTGAGTTTGGGGGTAATTGCCCAAAATGTTGAGGAATAAGGGGCCAAAAAGGGGCAAAAAATAAGCATTTTTTCTAGTTTCCAGACAATAACTTGTGTTCAAGTGTATGGATCCCTCTGAAATTGTACCACAAGGTTCCATATCACACAGGGAATGCTGGGATTGATTTTGGGGGTAATTGCCTCGAAATTTTAGGAATTAGGGGCCAAAAAAGGGGCAAAAAACAAGCATTTTTCTAGTTTCATGACAATAACTTGTGTGTTAGTGTTTGGATATTTCTGAAATTGTACTACAAGGTTCCATATCACAAAGGGAAAACTGGAATTGAGTTTGGGGGTAATTGATCTAAACGTTTAGGAATTGGGGGCCAAAAAGGGGCCAAAAAACACATTTTTCTAGTTTCCAGACAATAACTTGTGTTCAAGTGTATGGATCTCTCTGAAATTGTACTGCAAGGTACCATACCACAAAGGGAAGGCTGGGATTGAGTTTGGGGGTGATGAATCATAAGGGGGTTCAAAAATTTGGGGGGGGGATTTTTTTTTTTTTCCTTTTTTTTCTTTTATCCTTTTTTTTCTTTTAAAATTTTCCATTTTAAGTTGGTTATTTCTGATTTATATTTTAAAGCAAATAATAATGATATGGTAGGAGATACACACCAAACAGGATGTGTAAATTATTATATAATATAAAGTATTGTGCAATAGCAAGAAATTTTCAATTGCACAGTATTGCACAATAGCAAGAAATCTTCAATTGCACAGTATTGCGAAATAGCAAGAAATCTTCAATTGCACAATATTGCGCAATAGCAAGAAATTGTCAATTGTGCAGTATTGCGCAATAGCAAGAAATATTCAATTGCACAGTATTGTGCAAAAGAAGATACTTCGTATAAATTGCTTATTTCTTGACCAATTTCAATGGGGTTTTATTCTTGAATTCTTTGGGTTCTTTAATATGCTGAATCTAACCTTGTATTAAGTTTTTGGATTTTGGGCCCCGTTTTTAAATTGGTCCACATTGAGGTCCAAAGGGTCCAAAATTAAACTTTGTTTGATTTCATCAAAAATTGAATTATTGGGGTTCTTTGATATGCCAAATCTAACGGTTTATTTTGATTCTTAATTTTTGGTTCCGTTTTCAAATTGGTCTACATTAAGGTCCAAAGGGTCCAAAATTAAACTAAGTTTGATTTTAACAAAAATTGAATTCTTAGGGTTCTTTGATATGCTGAATCTAAACATGTATTTAGATTTTTGATTATGGGCCCAGTTTTCAAGTTGGTCCAAATCGGGGTCCAAAATTAAACTTTGTTTGATTTCAACAAAAAATTGAATATATGGGGTTCTTTGATATGCTGAATCTAACCATGTATTTAGAATTTTGATTTTTGGGCCTGTTATCAACTTTGTCCACATTGAGGTCAAAAGGGTCCAAAATTAAACTTTGTTTGATGTCATCAAAAATTGAATTCTTGGGGTTCTTTGATATGCTGAATCTAACCATGTATTTAGATTTTGGATATTGGACCATAATAGGTGAATGTCCAATTTAAAATTTTTAAGTTCTTAGACCACATTCATTCTGTGTCAGAAACCTATGCTGTGTCAAATATTTAATCACAATCCAAATTCAGAGCTGTATCAAGCTTGAATGTTGTGTCCATACTTGCCCCAACTGTTCAGGGTTCGACCTCTGCGGTCGTATCAAGCTGCGCCCTGCGGAGCATTTTATTGGCCCCTTATTCCTACAATTTTGAGGCAATTACCCCCAAAATCAATCCCAGCCTTCCCTTTGTGGTATGGTACCTTGCAGTACAATTTCAGAAAGATCCATACACTTGAACACAAGTTATTGTCTAGAAACTATAAAAATGCTTATTTTTGGCCCCATTTTGGCCCCTTATTCCTAAATGCTTTGGGCAATTACCCCCCAAACTCAATTCCAGCTTTCCCTTTGTGATATGGAACCTTGTAGTAAAATTTCAGAAAGATCTATACACTTACACACAAGTTATTATCATAAAATTAGAAAAATGCTTGTTTTTTGCCCCTTTTTTGGCCCCTAATTCCTAAAATTTTGAGGCAATTACCCTCAAAATCAATCCCAGCATTCCCTTTGTGATATGGAACCGTGTGGTACAATGTCAGAGAGATCCATACACTAACACACAAGTTATGTCTGGAAGTTACAAAAATGCTTATTTTTGGCCCCTAATTCCTTAACTGTTGGTACCATAACCCCCAAAATCAATCCCAACCTTCTTTTTGTGGTATTGAACCTTATGGTAAAATTTCCTAGAGATCCATTCACTTAAACTAAAGTTAGAGTGCGAAAACCAATGTGTCTTCGGACGACATCGATGACGACGACGCCAACGCCAACGTCATACCTATATACGACCGTCGTATAATAAGTACCTTATTTTGATACTGGACAGAATGGCAAACATACAGATTCACAGATTAGAAAACAATGTCATAATGCATCCCTAGTCTTGTAGGTGGGGCATAAACATATCAGCTAGGGTCATATTGTGACAGAGGAAAATCATGAATCCAACTACATACATGTATATCTATTGTAAAAATCCTATACACATGAAATTAAAATAGATCACTTCTTAGAAAAAATACAGTGAGGTCAAAACTATGAAACAGAATATTTTACTGACATATCAAAAGTGCTTATTTCTTTTACGCACCACTTCACCAAATGAAGCACCAGCCATATGTACTATTGGAAATGATTTACTTAATCCAACACTAGAAGCAAAATTCTTCGTGGTCTCATACGTACAGAAAAATACTGCAGCTGAAAAAAAAATGATATAAAATATTTCATTTAAAATTTTAACTAGAATAAGGAAATCTAATATCTAATGATCACATATACTCCCCACACCTTCAATTAAGAATAACTACTGGAATAAATGTTGTTGAAACTCGTTTGCACTAGAAAGTTTCTAAGTCTGTTCTCTTGTTATTTGTTCAATGAGTTACTACACCAATGTAATATCAACCTTATTTATAAAGCAACTCTTAGGAATGGTAAGGATAGAACTGATCAAAATCAAACTTATAAATGAAAGGTATTTATTAGTTAAATGATTTTCAAATTTTCAACCAGAAACCCTATTATATTGAATTCTCAAAAATTGAAGGACCATAAATCTGGAACCTGTAACACTTCAATCCATTCTATGTAGCAGTTCTCTTTTTATCATTCAGAAACCACAAACCTTTCTTTTTCCCCAAAGATCAAGAAAAGGTATTTAGTCAAATGGTTTCCCAATGATTATCATCCTTAAAACCACATTATTTTGAATTTTGAAAGAATCCAGGACTATGATTCCTAAAAACATTAAGGCCAAAAATGCAAAAATCAAAATTAACCTGAAGTTAAAAATCCATAATTAACTTCATATAAATTTCAATCTATTTCATGAAGCACTTTTTTTATTTCTCATCCAGAAACCACATTATTAAAAATTTATGCAAACAATCAATAAAATGCTTCACTGAGCGCAGCCTGATACGACCGCAGAGGTCGAACCCTGAACAGTTGGGGCAAATTTGGACACAATATTCAAGCTTGATACTTTCTGAATTAGGATTGTGATCAAATTTTGACATAATATAGGTTTCTGACACAAAATAAATGTGGTCAAAGATTTTACAAATCTAATGTGCAATACTGTGCAATTGAAGATTTCTTCTTGAAACTTTTCAAAAATTAGAAATTCAAAAAATTTGGGGAAAAAAATATGAACCCCTTAAATAAAATTGGAACCCCCCCCCCCCCCCCCAACTTTTCGAATCCCCCTTGGAGCATTAACCATCAAACTCAATCCCAGTCTTTCCTTTGTAGTATGGAACCATTGTAAGGGAGGTAACTCTAATGCAAATAAACTGCTTCGCTGAGCGCAGCTGGATACGCCCGCAGAGGTCCAACCCTGAACAGTTGGGGCAAAAATGGACACAATATTCAAGCTTGATACAGGTCTGAATTTGGATTGTAATTAAATATTTGACATATTATAGGTTTCTGACACAGAATAAATGTAGTCAAAGAACTTGAAATTGGTTATATGAATTGAATTTATATTCAATTAAAGATTTCTTGCTGTTGTGCAATACACTGTGCTGTTGCGCAATACTTAGTAAATCTGTTGTCAGACTATAAACAAATAAAGTTCAATTTCTTTTCAATGTCATATTTGAAATTTATGAAAATCAATAGGGAGATTACATCAATAGCTATAAACAATTCACCAAAGTTTCATAAGAACTGCTGAAAGCATTTTTTTAGTTATTGTCCGAAAACTGGAAAATCCCCCTTTTTTATGAATAAAACCCTGTAACTCGGAAACATTAAATCTAAAATTTATAAAAATCCAAAAGGGAGCTCATGTCAATAAACAATTCACCAAAATTTCTTGCAAGTTGGTGAAAGCATTCTTGAGTTATTGTCGAAAAACTGGAAAATCCCCCCTTTTTTAATGAATAAAACCCCAAAACTCGGAAATGGTAAATCTGAAATTTATAAAAAACGAAAGGGAGCTCACGTCAATAGATATAAACAATTCATCAAAGTTTCATGCATATTGATTAAAGCTTTTTGAGTTAATGTCCGACATGTTGACGACGGACAGACGGTACAAAGGACGGACAGACAGACAGTCAACAGTATACCATAATACATCCCGTAAACGGGCGTATAAAAAACCCCAAACAAAGAATAATCAATTCTGAGTATAAATATTTAATGTATTTAAATCCCAGTATTTGATGTTTCTAGAAACAGCTAAAAAATATTTCATACTAGAACTAGCAAACAAATAGCAAAAAGTACCAACTTAAAGAAACAAAGCTAAAGTAATTGTCCATTAACCAGGAAACCCTTGTTTTTCCCCCTTTTTTGCCCCTAATTCCTAAACAGATTGATCCATAACCCCCAAAGCCAATTCTAACCATCCTTTTGTGGTGTGGAAACTTGTGGTACAATTTCAGACAATTCTATACACTGTTCCACAAGTTATTGTCTGGACACTAGAAAAATGCTTATTTGTGCCCCTTTTTGACCCCTAATTCCTAAACCATAGGGACCATAACCCCCAAAATCAATCCCAACCTTCATTTTGTGCTTTGAACCTTGTGGTTAAACTTCATATAGATCCATTCACTTATACTAAAGTCATTGTTGTGGTTTCAAACCTTGTTTTTAAATTTCATAGATTTATATTTACTTATACTAAAGTTATTGGCAAATTTCCAATTATACTGAAGTTATTGGCAAATTTCCAATTATACTAAAGTTATTGGCAAATTTCCAATGGAGTTTATTATACTAAAGTTATTGGCAAATTTCCAATGGAGTTTATTTTAATACTAAAGTTATTGGCAAATTACCAATATACATAATTTAAAAGCAGTGTAAGTTAGGTAATTCAAATGTGTTTGAATTACCTCCCTTACACTGCTTTTAAATTATGTTTTGTACTTACGTAATTGTCCATTAACCTGGAAACCCTTGTTTTTCCCCCTTTTTTGCACCTTATTCCTTAACTGTTTAAGCCATAACCCCCAAAGCCAATTCTTACCATCCCTTTGTGGTATGGAAACTTGTGGTATAATTTCAGTGGGATCCATACACCATTCCACAAGTTATTGTCTGGAAACTAGAAAAATGCTTATTTGGGCCCTTTTTTGGCCCCTAATTTCTAAACTGTTGGGACCAAAACTCTCAAAATCAATCCCAACCTTCCTTTTGTGGTCATAAACCTTGTGTTTAAATTTCATAGATTTCTATTTACTTATACTAAAGTTATTGTCCGGAAACCTCATGTCTTCGGACGACGACAACGACGATGACGACGTGATACCAATATACGACCGCAAAAATTTTGCGTTCATATAAAAACCATTACCATGGATTAGTATATGTTACATTGAGGAAAATAATGGTCCAAAACACTCCATTCAATTTTCAATTCATTTTTGGTGCAGTGGTTCTCTAGCTATATAATTTAATTTTGGATGTAACACGTCTTCTGATTAACTGAAAGTTTTTTATCTATCAGCTCATAGACATGTGACCGTGACGTCATCAACGCTTTTTCATGATTTACTCCTTAAAAATGGAATTTAGAATTAAATTATATTCGGAATGACTGTAATATTTTTTCTGTCTATTCAAAATAACCTCAAAAATGTGGTGCACACTTTTAAGTAGCGGGTTATTCAGTGTGCACCACAGTTTTGATGTTATTTCTTCATAATTTAATTTTGGATGTAACACTTCTTCTGATTGGGTGAATGTCTTTTTGTCTATCAGCTCATAATTTTGTCATGTGACCGTGACGTCATCAAAGTTTTTTTCATGATTTACTCCTCAAAAATGGAATTTAGAATTAAATTATAAGGAATGTAATATTTTTTCTGTCTTTTTCAAAATAACTTCAAAAATGTGGTGCACACTTTTATAGAACCTGCTACGCACCACATTTTTGAGGTTATTTCAAATAGACAGGAAAAATATTACAGTCATTCCTTAATCAAAACTATTTATCATCTGGAAAAAAGAACATCTTTAAAATAAGTCTGAAATAAACAATTAACAATGCATAGACTCGATAATATATATCAGCATTTTGTGTGTATTTTAGTCTAGACGCCATCTTATTAACCATCGAGATGACCTCTGAAGACTGCTGACGGTCACATAACCCGATATGAACATAAACATAAATATAAATAGATTGCGACCACGTGCAATTGGATTTTTCTAGGTCTGTTTGATTTCATGTTAGAGATCTTTTACCTGTATAAGAATGATTTTTTGTGGATGGAATTAGTCAACAAAATGTTTCACCTTTGTTTCACTTTCAATGTTGACATTCTTTTCCTTTTAATGGCTGAACACGTATAATACATGCATAACCAATCTCTAGCTAAGGGGTTAAATTGAAGGTCACATGAACACAGATTCAATGAGGTCAAATTATTCACTTCCAAGTGAATAATTCATCAGCGATGTTTCTTAGCTTATATTGTCAAAATTGAACTAAACTGGCTGCTAAAAGCGAATTATTATTTCACTATTTCACTTTCGTTATTGATTGAAAAAAAAAAAATCATGTTTTAATTTTTTTTATATCTCATAGCTAATACCCCTAGGACAATAACTCCTATAAAGAGTCAACTAACAATTCTGGCAAAATTTGACTTGTTCATAGATCTTGTCTTGCTGATCAAATTTGCTGTTTAAAAAGGGTATCTATCTTTTATGTTTTCAACAGAATAGGCAAAATGAAAAAAATTGGTAAAATTCGTCATCAAAGAGCAGTAACTCTAATATGGGGTCCACTCATGATTTTGACCATCTTCACTTTAGTGGAGATTTTGTCTTGCTGATCATTATTGCTATTTAAAGATTCTCCCTCCATCTTTTGTAGTTTTCAAAATAATAAGCAACAAGAGGCTGTCAGATTGACAACAAACTGAATTTTCCTGCATGAAAATGATATTTGCAAATATGGAGTCATGGACCCCAAAACAAGATCAAGTAAAAATAAATGTGGATTCTGTCCACATGTGGACACAGATGATGCCCCCGCTTGCATATCATATAGTTATAAAGGGACATAACCAAAGAACGGTAAAAGTGACGCTACCCAAATTTGATCTTGATCTGTATTTTGTGGTTATAAGCATTGTGTATCAGTTTCATAACATTTGGTTGAGGCAAACTTAAGTTAGAGAACGGAAACTAAAAATTTTGTAATTTTTCCATTTATAAAGGGGCATAACTCT